ATTCATTACTTGTTCCTTCAGTAGTTCACAAAAGTTATACAATTAACAGATATAGTAAAAAATATAGTAACTGCTTGAGATAAAAGATGCATTATGATTCATTAATGATGAATTAACATGAGATCAGTATGTAACTAAGACTTAGTTTGTGGTTAATTAATACATAAGTAATAGTTATGTTATTTGTGCCCCATCAAGTGAGTATAACCAAGAATCAGTGTCTGTAAATCTCTGGCTATGGTTCTCTGTCAAAAACGCTCAGATTGGTGAAGTACCTCAAGATCCTTAGCAGGTGCTTTGAGCCAAAGCTAAATGGAAGTGATGATCAGAGACCATGGTCAGACCCTGAAGCGATCGCAGCTGCGAGGCCCAGAAAACACTCCGCCAGGCTTCACACCTGGACCCACGACCGTCCCTTCACCGCCCCAAAGTGTCATGGTGATAAAGCAGGAGCTACGGCATCAGACGAGTCTACAGGCCCTATTGTCACTTACAGTCAAGAAATGTGGGAAGTAGCTGAAAAAACAAAGTACAAGCGGCAGGGTTGACCGTTACTGGGCAGACTCACGTGGCTCACCCAGTGTGATCAGTAACCGTTCCCAAGCATGGAACACAGACATGACATCAATCCCGAGCATGGAACACAGACATGACGTCAATCCCGAGCATGGAACACAGACATGACGTCAATCCCGAGCATGGAACACAGACATGACGTCAATGATTCGACTGGCACACACATGTGCACGTGTACACTATACGTGAACCGAATCCAGAAGGAATGGAGCGGATTGGGTCGGCTGTACGGATCAGTCAGCGACAAACATTTAGCAAATAGTGGCTAAGGGATCTCTTTGTTCCACAGCAGAGGTACAGTGTTTGCCAGAAATTTGGGCTGACAAAAGTATCCAGGAACAACTAAATGCGACACACTAAACCTCCAAGATATTTAGTAAAATAAGTGATGATATTCATATATGTGCAGCATGATTAAATGAAAATTGAATTTTTTGGTAAATCTTTGAGGGCCACCTGTCATCGCGCTCAAAATCACTCCAAAAAAAAAACAAAATTAATCATTTTTTCATTAATCATGAACTCCATTGTGCTGTGTGATAGTGCTTTTCTTACAATGTTGTCTTCAACACAAAAACTGCATGGGCCAATGGCGAGGACGCCCATAGTGACAGAGTGAGGAGTTTGCAGATCTGCACGGACCTGCATGACACTTGACTGGATCTCAACAGACCTGTTCCAGACGTGACCCACTGAAGCACACCCAGGACACGCTGGAGGCTTCATATCTCCCAGCGACATCAGGGGATTCCCCAGAATGAGGCCTCGGTAAGAGAGGCCTGCTCTGACCTGCCTGGTTTCCAGGAAAAGAAGTATGAGAACAATGATATTTCTATATAAGCCTTAATGTTCATTATTATAATAACATGGTAACATCTATAACAAATAACATATATTGCAGAGTGGACACTGTAGCACTTTGTGTTAAAATGGAAAAATAACACTGATTCTCTTTAACAATCGATACAATAAGCTGCAAGGAAAACGCCACAGTGGCGAATGGATCAGACGGACGGCGACAGGAAACGCCGCTTTATGTTTATCCAGAAGCAGCTGCTCTTTCTGCCCAGTTGGAAATGTCCTTTCCCAGAGTGCACTGGGGCAGAGGAACGGCAGGTTGGCTGGGGAGAATAACAACCCCACCTTTAGGAAGGAACATTTTTATGTAACCTCTGACCCCTTGTAATTGCTCTGTTTTTCCCCACAGTAATAAATATTGAAGTATGCGTTGCATGGCCATTTTAACTCAAAAAATGTTGGGTGAATATTCTAAATTCACAATGCCTTATTTTAAAGAATTATTTCAAATTAGAATGCTGAGTATGCAAATTAGCATGCTAACACCCTAGAGAGAGTGATTATTACAGAGTACTGACACTTCATTCGTCCACATGGGGAAATTCTCCTTTTATTCTGCCCTGTCTCGCGCCATGCTGATCTCATGTCAACAGCACCACTGTAAGGCTAAACTGATGCCCTGAATGCAGCCTGTTTATTATCCACCACGATGCAAGGAAACGCATAGATATTCTGATGTCACTACCGTTCACAAGCCCTGTTCACTAATACTGCAGAATTTCTGTGTGAAAAGCCTACTTCTGAAACGTCACCACATTTTAAAAACTTGCATGGCAGTTTGATTTAGTTATTGTGCAACTATTTATCACTTGGAGTACAGTTTTTTGGGGGGGGAAATTATATATATATATATATATATATATATATATATCATGCAGTTATTTTTTCAATGAAGTACAAACACGGTGGCCCAAATATTTAAAAATACATATTCCTATTTATACAACTTTTTCCCCCAAGTGGTCATTGAATTGAAGTCAGACATATGCCCTTAATTACCCTCATTTTCCACTGTTTACTCTGACTGTTTATGTTTAGTCTCAGGCTGTTGAAGAACAGCTCGCCTGTTGCTTTGTCTCTTTGAATGGTTTATTTTCCTAATCTTGACTGGCAGACCTTAATGCGACGCACAGGTTTGATGCGTCCACTGCGAACAGGTAGAGCAGCACACGAGACACCCTGAAAATCCATATCTTTAATTAATAATAAACATCATCAGATTTTACTGGTTTAGCTCAGCAGTCCGTTTCACCATAAGCTCTTGAGAAAGAAAAAAAAACATACTTTCATTTATAGTTCTTGAAATTTAACTCAAGCTTTGTGCTTTTCAGTTCTTATACAGGGTAATATGAGACTCTGCAGGTTAGCACCCTGTGCCTGTGCTCAGAAGGTTGTTGGTTCAAATCTCATGGCTGGCAGACAAGACAAGGCCTTTAATCCCAATTGCCCCAGGGTATCTGACTGCCCATGCTCCACCATCTGTATGTCGCTTACATACATGTATTACATTATTTATGTATCACGTGCTGCCACTGTAATCTCACACCCCCAAATATGTGTATCAGATACCCACCCCTACACTAAAAGTGTTGTTAGGGTGTGATTGTGTTTCCTGTGATGAACTGGCATCCCATCCAGGTGCTCCCCTGCCCTCTGCTTCCTGGAATAGGCTCTAGGGTCATTGTGACCCCGTAATACACAAGTGGTTATGGAAGATCAATGAGATATTTTGGACTGTCGACTGGCTTTGACCTGAAAAAAGCCAAAGTATTTCACTCGCGCATTTTCTTACCTTAGCTGTATTTTTACAATACTACACCTTGAATAAACACCTTCCATCTATCCATCTTTTTTCTAAATGCTTATCCTGGACAGGGTTTGGGAAAAAAGTTTTTAAATAAAATGAAAGATAAACCAACAGAGAAAAATAGAAACACACACAAAGACATGCTAAATTCTTTGAAAAGGCCAACACAGCTAGCACATTTTTATACATTATATCTTCATTCATTGAATGAATGAATGAATGAATGAATGAATGAATGAAAACATCGCAAAAGACTATAATAAGAATTAATGTATTTCAAATGACCCCGTCGTGGCTGGAATGGTGTCTGTATGGAAGGGCAGGTTCACACTGAAGTGATACAGCACTGACATCTAGTGGTTTTCCATCGCTAATCCCATAATCTTTTCCGTGTCAGTGTGGACCCGTTAGATTGAGAACGCCAGGGTTCTCCAATTCCAGTCCTGGGGGGGGGGATTCAACACAGTTTGCAGTGTTCCCACTTTGACACAGGACTGTGTGTAGCATGTTAATGTCACATAAACTACAAAATTCCGCCAAAACACTTCGGAAGCAGCCAAACAAAACAAATACATTTTGTAAAACACTGAAGGAAAACAAGCAAAATAAACTCCAAATATATAGCTTTCATAAGCCTGTTTTAGGAGGTCCATTCCTTACAAGTAATGTTGTGATAAACACTGACTGGAGCTTGTTGGAACATTCAAGCAGGACAGCAAAAAGATGCATCCAAAGACTGCACTGTATTCCCAGTGTCATGTTGGTTTCTGTTCAATTCCCAGAAATAACCTTACAACCTGTGCTATGACGTTTAAACTCACTGCTCACTCAGCGCCGTTTCTATCACAGATGTATAACAGAGTCAAATCCTATACCTGACATGTTTTATCTGAAAATAAGGCCAGTTTTAGATAAGAAAGTGGTCAAAACCCAACACCTTGCTTCAACAATGATCTAGAACAAGGAACGAGCTGACAGCACTTTTGCAGAGTGACTTTACACACCTTCTGTTTAAAAATCCCCTGGTTACCCAGTGGCGATTAATGTATTTTTCAGATGCAATCCAATGGTACACATTGATAGGATTGGGAGATAATTTTATAGATTTAAGTTTAATAACACCTGTCCGTAAGTTTTGCTCGATCTTCTTGTGAACTTGTGCGAGCTTTAATGGTTCTGAGTTTATTTTTTCTAACTTTTTGAGCACCGGCCCCTGTGGTATAGGACGACCTACACTACAGAGAATAAATGATCAGGCGAAAATGTCAAGAATAAGTAATAACTTTAAACGGAAGAAAAAACAGAGCTTTTTGCAGTACATTTGTGACAGAAGTCGTTTGTCTTATTACTTACAAATTCCATTCTACGGATGTTGTGGTAAGATGCTAATACGATAAATGCCATTTTAATAGATCAAATATCCACTCTGAATATTTACGTACAGCCAACATAACATTCCAGTATACTAACATGTTATTTTGGAAAACGAATTTGGCATGCTGCATCTCGCGGTGATTGCGCATATCACTATACAATAACTCAATCATAACTCATGAAGAATGCATGAAATGCCTTTAGAATTTTTTTTTAATCATTTTATTTTTGTTGGGACAGCCTCAGTACTACTGAAAACCTCAGAAGTAACTCTGTACCCGGAAAGGGTACGCTATGCCTCTAAACATTTATGCATGTTGTGGCACGTGAGGGGATTACGTAAGATAGCTACGGGCCAATAATCGCGCGCGCTGCTAGACCGGAAGTTGCCTCCATCCGTCTCTATTTTCGCTACTCCTTCTGCTCTGAGGGCGTTTGGAACGTATTTGTTTAGCCACATTTTGCATACTCAAGTTGACAAAATGAAGCAAAATAGTAACGTACCAGCGTTTTTGACGAAGCTATGGACTCTCGTCGAGGATCCTGATACCAATGAATTTATCTGCTGGAGCCAGGTAAAAAAAAAATAACCCAATTGAAGCTAGGCTAGTCTATGCTATGCTAGAAGGCAGAAGTGAAAGAAGCATGCTAATGCGGCTAGCTGAGAAGTTAGCTCGATTGCTAACAAACAAAGAAAGATCCGTTGCTATTAGATTAACGATGGCTTAACTATCTAATTTGCTCTTGCTTTTAAGTTATAGTTCAGTGCCACACAGTCCATTTGGGTTTACATAATTCGATCGGGGGTTTTGTTATGTAGTTTCCTTATTTTCCTGTTAACGCATCGATTGCGCATACCAGTTTAATGCCTGCTCGTACCCACGGAGCTCCGCGTTTGTTGACGTGAAGTAAAATGCCTCAACATACGCATGTTATACTACCACAGTGTTTATGTTTTGAAAAAATCATATTGGTATTAGACGTGGTCGGCCAGTTGACATATATTTATTTACAGTTGTTAATGGTAACTAAGCTAACTTTGTCGTTTAATAGCCAGCAATTTGCTATTATAATGGCACGAAAATATGTTGAGTTTCAGAGTAATAGTGAGCGATACTTTTCAATGTGCTACAACCCCAGTCATAATTAATTTAGTGATTTATAAAAATGATTTATGAAAATACGCCAGCATAATTACTTTGCATAAACTGGCTAATGTTAGCATGTCATGCGCCAAGGATAAGCGGTAAAACAGTGATAACTATTAAACTCTATTGTAACTAAGTAGTTGTCAATGCCAAATGCGCATTATTGTGTAATTACCAGCTATGAAGGGTGAATCTAATAAACGCGAACACCTCTCAGCCGCGCCATTTTAGGAAAAAATGCTTAATTGCTTTGCATGCTTCTTTACTTTTTCTACATATCATACAGTACTGTACGTTGCTTGTCGTCGTATTTAATGTACGTTAAGTTTTGCTCCCTATTTCCACTGTGAAGGAGGGCAGCAGTTTTCTTGTGTTGGATGAACAGAGATTTGCAAAGGAAATACTCCCGAAGTTCTTCAAACACAACAACATGGCCAGTTTTGTAAGGCAGCTAAACATGTGTAAGTAGGCTTTGTATTCGTCCCTTGTGAGATGCCCCCCTACGGAATACCTGAGCTGACTCAGAATTGTTTTTGCAGATGGATTCCGCAAAGTGATGCACATTGATACGGGCATAGTGAAGCAGGAGCGGGACGGCCCCGTCGAATTTCAGCATCCTTTCTTCAAGCATGGCCAAGATGACTTACTGGAACACATCAAGAGAAAGGTAGGCAGAAAGGTCTTCCTCTTCCTGGATAAGCTGCATTGTTGAATTTGTGTCAGATTTTGCTGAGACACTTTTGTGGTTTAGGTTTCTGTCTCCAGGCCTGAGGAGAGCAAAATCAGACAAGATGATCTGTCGAAGATCTTGTCCAGCGTCCAGAATATTCACGGCCAGCAGGAGAATATGGACTCCCGACTTGCAACGCTGAAAAGGTGCCACAGTTACTGTTTGTACTTTAGAGACGCAAACATCTCTTGACTTCGTATGCGTTTCATAAAGCTTTTGGAATGTAGACTCGGCTAATGCTGGCAACGGAGATGATTGTATTGCAACCTTGCTATGTGTCAAGACACCGGCGTACATATTGTATGTGAAATTAAAGCCACACTGCAAGTTATATTAGAATGCCAGAGTGATGTTTGAATGTGTGACTTCCTTTGGTAACTTCAAAGGCTGAATCAGTTGACCGGGGCTTTTTTTTTTTGCCAGGGAGAATGAAGCTCTGTGGAGAGAGATAGCCGACCTGCGTCAAAAGCACAACCAGCAGCAGCAAGTTATAAAGAAGGTTCGCTTACGTCTTATAACCTTAACTTTCACAAGGACAAAGAGTTCAATCGAATGTGGTTTATCCCTGTTCTTGTTAGCCTACAGCAGTCGCCTTAAGTTTGAAATAAATACTTCTGTTTTGATACCAAGATATTACGTAATTTTATAGGCTGTAAATGGGGAAAAATAACACGTTATATGCATATATTTTTTTTACATATGTTTGATAGTATCTGAAGTTTATTATATGTATTTAATGGAAGATCTCCATATGCTTTTATTTCTTCAGCTGATACAGTTTATTGTCACTCTGGTTCAGAACAACCATGTCCTGAGTTTAAAGCGAAAAAGGTAAGCCTGCAGTTTTTGTTGTCTGTTTAGTGCAAAGAATTCAAATGAAGCATATTAACTTACTCTCCTGGAGGTAATTGGAACCACTGGCCCAGGACTGAGAAGCCTGGAGAGATCTAGTTAGCAGCGTGTGCCTTGATAGAGGCCTCGGGCAATGGTGGTGATATTGACATCTTCTCCCACCTCTCCCTCTCCAGACCATTGCTGCTGAACAGCAATGGGAAGAAATCCAAATTCATCCAGCCAATTTTCGATGAGCCTGTCGACCACAACAAGGTATGTATTGCCAAACAGCAGCCGGTCAGTTCTGGCTGTCATTTCCAACAGTGTTGTCAAAAGTGCAGAAAGTACGGATTCTTGGCTTGCTCTGATCACCGAGGCTCGTACGCTGTCATGCCTGTTATGAATGTGTTCGTGGATTCTTATAAACGTGGCATTCATAAAAAGGGTTACCCATTCTCTGCATTAAGACAACAGTCTGCAATTATTTTTAGCTGTCGGCTTCATGCGGTCTTATGAGGTTGTGTTGATTAGTGTTGATTGTTCTGATACAAACTTTGTCGTGCAATTGTTACAAGTGTTTGTTCTTTGAGATACAAGGTAAAGAAGGCATTTAAAAGTAATGTATATCTGTTCTATTATGCACTGTAATATTAAAGTAACATTTAATTTTTAAGTTTTAATTTACTGCTTGTGAATATCTGAGTGCAATTACAATGGCTACTACGATACTTAATATTATCCTTTGAGAGACAGTACAATGCAAAGGTTTTCTTTTTACATATAGTGACATGAGTATAGAAAAGGTTGTAAAGTTTTTACTGCAAACAAAATTGCAATTTTAAATAATTATTTTGAGACATCGTATACTGTATTGAGTATCAAAAATGTATCCAAGTTTGTCATTTTGGTATCGACTCCACTAATATCTGATAATTAGCGTTTGGTTCCAAAAGTGATATGTGGCATTATGTGTAGCTGACTTACTGATTTTCTTATTTATCATGGTTGTTCTGTTCTCTTCCAAAGACCCATGTCAATGGGTTAAAGAATCATTCTGACATTACTGATGATGTCATCATCTGCGATTTAACCGTTGAGGATTCTGAGGTCACAGAGGAAATTTCACGATCTTTTGATCAAAGGTGGGCCTGTTTTTTTCTTTTCTTTTCTATTTTCCATACATATTGTATCATATTATGGAAATTGGTGCAATTCATTTGTGTCTTTCTGACATGGTAATGCACCATCTGATAAGTTTCTCTGTGCTGCGTTGTTTCTATAGTGACAGATGTAAGTGCCAAAACTGTGTAATGTATTATTTGAAAATATATCTGTAGTTGTCTAGTGCTGCAGGTCAGGTTTTGTCTTTAGCGTTACATATAGCTGTAATCACCTTATAGTCTAATCTTAGAGGCACCGAAGTTGGGATTTTGTGAAATTACATCTGAGAAATTTACGTTGCGTTGCAAAACCTTTTTCTCAACAACCTTTCTCAATCGACAGGGACGTGGAAATAGTGGAGGTGCAAGGAGATGGTGATGCCGCCATACTGGTGGAGAGCGCAGTGGACAAGGAAGCAGAAAACTCCCCGGAGACCATGTGCGAATACACAGCCAGGAGCTCCACCGAGTTGCCCGAGAGCAGCGGCGCACTGCAGGTCAACTTGCCGTCGATACTGAGCTTCGAAGACCCAGTCAAAATGATGGACTCCATCCTCAACGAGAGCGGAACCATCTCGCAGAACCTGAACCTCCTGGGAAAGTGAGTGTCGCGTTCCCGTCGACACCAAGCAGCGCGCCGGAGGAGGAGCCGGCGTGTCGCGTCACGTCATGTTTGCGATTATGCCTGCTTCAATCCCCTTTTCCAGGGTTGAGCTGATGGACTACCTGGACAGCATTGATTGCAGCTTGGAGGATTTCCAGGCCTTGTTGTATGGCAAGCAGTTCAGCATTGACACAGACGTCGTAGGGGTATGTTTGTGCCGCATTCGAGATGTGCTGCTTTGCCGCCTCTCTTTTTGAGTAGGAGAATGAGCACTACTTACTATTATACAGTATCAGCAAAGTTTCACCTTGTTTCTTCCTAAGCATTCGAGTAATGTTCTACAAATTACCACGCACACACACACACACACACACACANCCAGTGTCATGTTGGTTTCTGTTCAATTCCCAGAAATAACCTTACAACCTGTGCTATGACGTTTAAACTCACTGCTCACTCAGCGCCGTTTCTATAACAGAGTCAAATCCTATACCTGACATGTTTTATCTGAAAATAAGGCCAGTTTTAGATAAGAAAGTGGTCAAAACCCAACACCTTGCTTCAACAATGATCTAGAACAAGGAACGAGCTGACAGCACTTTTGCAGAGTGACTTTACACACCTTCTGTTTAAAAATCCCCTGGTTACCCAGTGGCGATTAATGTATTTTTCAGATGCAATCCAATGGTACACATTGATAGGATTGGGAGATAATTTTATAGATTTAAGTTTAATAACACCTGTCCGTAAGTTTTGCTCGATCTTCTTGTGAACTTGTGCGAGCTTTAATGGTTCTGAGTTTATTTTTTCTAACTTTTTGAGCACCGGCCCCTGTGGTATAGGACGACCTACACTACAGAGAATAAATGATCAGGCGAAAATGTCAAGAATAAGTAATAACTTTAAACGGAAGAAAAAACAGAGCTTTTTGCAGTACATTTGTGACAGAAGTCGTTTGTCTTATTACTTACAAATTCCATTCTACGGATGTTGTGGTAAGATGCTAATACGATAAATGCCATTTTAATAGATCAAATATCCACTCTGAATATTTACGTACAGCCAACATAACATTCCAGTATACTAACATGTTATTTTGGAAAACGAATTTGGCATGCTGCATCTCGCGGTGATTGCGCATATCACTATACAATAACTCAATCATAACTCATGAAGAATGCATGAAATGCCTTTAGAATTTTTTTTTAATCATTTTATTTTTGTTGGGACAGCCTCAGTACTACTGAAAACCTCAGAAGTAACTCTGTACCCGGAAAGGGTACGCTATGCCTCTAAACATTTATGCATGTTGTGGCACGTGAGGGGATTACGTAAGATAGCTACGGGCCAATAATCGCGCGCGCTGCTAGACCGGAAGTTGCCTCCATCCGTCTCTATTTTCGCTACTCCTTCTGCTCTGAGGGCGTTTGGAACGTATTTGTTTAGCCACATTTTGCATACTCAAGTTGACAAAATGAAGCAAAATAGTAACGTACCAGCGTTTTTGACGAAGCTATGGACTCTCGTCGAGGATCCTGATACCAATGAATTTATCTGCTGGAGCCAGGTAAAAAAAAAATAACCCAATTGAAGCTAGGCTAGTCTATGCTATGCTAGAAGGCAGAAGTGAAAGAAGCATGCTAATGCGGCTAGCTGAGAAGTTAGCTCGATTGCTAACAAACAAAGAAAGATCCGTTGCTATTAGATTAACGATGGCTTAACTATCTAATTTGCTCTTGCTTTTAAGTTATAGTTCAGTGCCACACAGTCCATTTGGGTTTACATAATTCGATCGGGGGTTTTGTTATGTAGTTTCCTTATTTTCCTGTTAACGCATCGATTGCGCATACCAGTTTAATGCCTGCTCGTACCCACGGAGCTCCGCGTTTGTTGACGTGAAGTAAAATGCCTCAACATACGCATGTTATACTACCACAGTGTTTATGTTTTGAAAAAATCATATTGGTATTAGACGTGGTCGGCCAGTTGACATATATTTATTTACAGTTGTTAATGGTAACTAAGCTAACTTTGTCGTTTAATAGCCAGCAATTTGCTATTATAATGGCACGAAAATATGTTGAGTTTCAGAGTAATAGTGAGCGATACTTTTCAATGTGCTACAACCCCAGTCATAATTAATTTAGTGATTTATAAAAATGATTTATGAAAATACGCCAGCATAATTACTTTGCATAAACTGGCTAATGTTAGCATGTCATGCGCCAAGGATAAGCGGTAAAACAGTGATAACTATTAAACTCTATTGTAACTAAGTAGTTGTCAATGCCAAATGCGCATTATTGTGTAATTACCAGCTATGAAGGGTGAATCTAATAAACGCGAACACCTCTCAGCCGCGCCATTTTAGGAAAAAATGCTTAATTGCTTTGCATGCTTCTTTACTTTTTCTACATATCATACAGTACTGTACGTTGCTTGTCGTCGTATTTAATGTACGTTAAGTTTTGCTCCCTATTTCCACTGTGAAGGAGGGCAGCAGTTTTCTTGTGTTGGATGAACAGAGATTTGCAAAGGAAATACTCCCGAAGTTCTTCAAACACAACAACATGGCCAGTTTTGTAAGGCAGCTAAACATGTGTAAGTAGGCTTTGTATTCGTCCCTTGTGAGATGCCCCCCTACGGAATACCTGAGCTGACTCAGAATTGTTTTTGCAGATGGATTCCGCAAAGTGATGCACATTGATACGGGCATAGTGAAGCAGGAGCGGGACGGCCCCGTCGAATTTCAGCATCCTTTCTTCAAGCATGGCCAAGATGACTTACTGGAACACATCAAGAGAAAGGTAGGCAGAAAGGTCTTCCTCTTCCTGGATAAGCTGCATTGTTGAATTTGTGTCAGATTTTGCTGAGACACTTTTGTGGTTTAGGTTTCTGTCTCCAGGCCTGAGGAGAGCAAAATCAGACAAGATGATCTGTCGAAGATCTTGTCCAGCGTCCAGAATATTCACGGCCAGCAGGAGAATATGGACTCCCGACTTGCAACGCTGAAAAGGTGCCACAGTTACTGTTTGTACTTTAGAGACGCAAACATCTCTTGACTTCGTATGCGTTTCATAAAGCTTTTGGAATGTAGACTCGGCTAATGCTGGCAACGGAGATGATTGTATTGCAACCTTGCTATGTGTCAAGACACCGGCGTACATATTGTATGTGAAATTAAAGCCACACTGCAAGTTATATTAGAATGCCAGAGTGATGTTTGAATGTGTGACTTCCTTTGGTAACTTCAAAGGCTGAATCAGTTGACCGGGGCTTTTTTTTTTTGCCAGGGAGAATGAAGCTCTGTGGAGAGAGATAGCCGACCTGCGTCAAAAGCACAACCAGCAGCAGCAAGTTATAAAGAAGGTTCGCTTACGTCTTATAACCTTAACTTTCACAAGGACAAAGAGTTCAATCGAATGTGGTTTATCCCTGTTCTTGTTAGCCTACAGCAGTCGCCTTAAGTTTGAAATAAATACTTCTGTTTTGATACCAAGATATTACGTAATTTTATAGGCTGTAAATGGGGAAAAATAACACGTTATATGCATATATTTTTTTTACATATGTTTGATAGTATCTGAAGTTTATTATATGTATTTAATGGAAGATCTCCATATGCTTTTATTTCTTCAGCTGATACAGTTTATTGTCACTCTGGTTCAGAACAACCATGTCCTGAGTTTAAAGCGAAAAAGGTAAGCCTGCAGTTTTTGTTGTCTGTTTAGTGCAAAGAATTCAAATGAAGCATATTAACTTACTCTCCTGGAGGTAATTGGAACCACTGGCCCAGGACTGAGAAGCCTGGAGAGATCTAGTTAGCAGCGTGTGCCTTGATAGAGGCCTCGGGCAATGGTGGTGATATTGACATCTTCTCCCACCTCTCCCTCTCCAGACCATTGCTGCTGAACAGCAATGGGAAGAAATCCAAATTCATCCAGCCAATTTTCGATGAGCCTGTCGACCACAACAAGGTATGTATTGCCAAACAGCAGCCGGTCAGTTCTGGCTGTCATTTCCAACAGTGTTGTCAAAAGTGCAGAAAGTACGGATTCTTGGCTTGCTCTGATCACCGAGGCTCGTACGCTGTCATGCCTGTTATGAATGTGTTCGTGGATTCTTATAAACGTGGCATTCATAAAAAGGGTTACCCATTCTCTGCATTAAGACAACAGTCTGCAATTATTTTTAGCTGTCGGCTTCATGCGGTCTTATGAGGTTGTGTTGATTAGTGTTGATTGTTCTGATACAAACTTTGTCGTGCAATTGTTACAAGTGTTTGTTCTTTGAGATACAAGGTAAAGAAGGCATTTAAAAGTAATGTATATCTGTTCTATTATGCACTGTAATATTAAAGTAACATTTAATTTTTAAGTTTTAATTTACTGCTTGTGAATATCTGAGTGCAATTACAATGGCTACTACGATACTTAATATTATCCTTTGAGAGACAGTACAATGCAAAGGTTTTCTTTTTACATATAGTGACATGAGTATAGAAAAGGTTGTAAAGTTTTTACTGCAAACAAAATTGCAATTTTAAATAATTATTTTGAGACATCGTATACTGTATTGAGTATCAAAAATGTATCCAAGTTTGTCATTTTGGTATCGACTCCACTAATATCTGATAATTAGCGTTTGGTTCCAAAAGTGATATGTGGCATTATGTGTAGCTGACTTACTGATTTTCTTATTTATCATGGTTGTTCTGTTCTCTTCCAAAGACCCATGTCAATGGGTTAAAGAATCATTCTGACATTACTGATGATGTCATCATCTGCGATTTAACCGTTGAGGATTCTGAGGTCACAGAGGAAATTTCACGATCTTTTGATCAAAGGTGGGCCTGTTTTTTTCTTTTCTTTTCTATTTTCCATACATATTGTATCATATTATGGAAATTGGTGCAATTCATTTGTGTCTTTCTGACATGGTAATGCACCATCTGATAAGTTTCTCTGTGCTGCGTTGTTTCTATAGTGACAGATGTAAGTGCCAAAACTGTGTAATGTATTATTTGAAAATATATCTGTAGTTGTCTAGTGCTGCAGGTCAGGTTTTGTCTTTAGCGTTACATATAGCTGTAATCACCTTATAGTCTAATCTTAGAGGCACCGAAGTTGGGATTTTGTGAAATTACATCTGAGAAATTTACGTTGCGTTGCAAAACCTTTTTCTCAACAACCTTTCTCAATCGACAGGGACGTGGAAATAGTGGAGGTGCAAGGAGATGGTGATGCCGCCATACTGGTGGAGAGCGCAGTGGACAAGGAAGCAGAAAACTCCCCGGAGACCATGTGCGAATACACAGCCAGGAGCTCCACCGAGTTGCCCGAGAGCAGCGGCGCACTGCAGGTCAACTTGCCGTCGATACTGAGCTTCGAAGACCCAGTCAAAATGATGGACTCCATCCTCAACGAGAGCGGAACCATCTCGCAGAACCTGAACCTCCTGGGAAAGTGAGTGTCGCGTTCCCGTCGACACCAAGCAGCGCGCCGGAGGAGGAGCCGGCGTGTCGCGTCACGTCATGTTTGCGATTATGCCTGCTTCAATCCCCTTTTCCAGGGTTGAGCTGATGGACTACCTGGACAGCATTGATTGCAGCTTGGAGGATTTCCAGGCCTTGTTGTATGGCAAGCAGTTCAGCATTGACACAGACGTCGTAGGGGTATGTTTGTGCCGCATTCGAGATGTGCTGCTTTGCCGCCTCTCTTTTTGAGTAGGAGAATGAGCACTACTTACTATTATACAGTATCAGCAAAGTTTCACCTTGTTTCTTCCTAAGCATTCGAGTAATGTTCTACAAATTACCACGCACACACACACACACACACACACACATATATATACAGTTATATATATATAATTTTTTTTTTTTTAATTGGGAACACATTAACGCTTCCTTTGACCTCCCGCCCTGCCCCCTCCTTTAGCTTTTCAGTCCTTATTCTATGATGGACTCAGTTGATATCGGCGCCCACGTTGCTGAAGTGAGTCTGGTAACCTGTCCTTGTGTGTGTTGTATTTCACTTTCACATGGGTCCCAGTACCTGCTCTCAGTGTTAGCCTGTTTTTAATAATACTAGGATTCGCCCATGCTCGATTAACTGACACCTTCATCCAGTGCGGCTTACTCTTTTCGCATTGAATCAGCTACGTAAGTCACTGGAGCGGTTCAGGTTAAGTACCACAGTGAAGGGTACTTTAGGGGCACGACTCCTGGGGTTTGAACTGGCAGTGTTACAAGTCCATGTGGATAGGCCCCTCTGCTCGCCGCCGCCCCCTGCCTGCCCCCCTGTCATATCCGCTGACACCTTCGTAGTGTTTCAGCAGGCCTGTCACACGGCGGCATGAGAACTGGTATCGCTACTCTGTCCTTTTGAAAGCGGAGGAAGAAACCAGATGCTGTCACATTCATTTTCAGGAGACGGAGGGTTTGAAAGAGAATGCGGAATTGTTAGCTAAAGGAGGGAAGCCAGAAGCTGATAATACAGGTGCGTAAAATGATCTCTTGTTACACCCACTCCAAGGTGTAATGAACACCAAAATTTACATTTACCCTGGGTAGAGCATGGGTATACTTGGCTTTGCTTTTGAGTTAACTTAGTTTCAAAGTCTTTTCTTACTGCTCTATTTTTCAGTGTAAATACTTCTTTTTAGGTGGTTGATCATGCTTTTATTGTTCATTATGTCAACAGTTAGCAGGCAGTATGTAAAGTAGCCGTAAATGTAATCAAACAAATATTGCCTGTGTTTTAAGCTTCCTAGTGTGCATTTTTGCATACATTTCTATGGATGTTTCCATTTAAAATGTAACTTAAAGGATAAAAGACTTAAGGCTTCCCATGATGCTCTCCTTATGGCAGACAAGCAGCTGGTCCAGTACACCACCTGCCCCCTGCTGGCCTTCCTGGATGGCTGCACCTCCCTGACCCCGGAGCCCGAATCTCCGGTGTGCGAGCTGGGGGAGGCGCTGCTGGAGCAGGCCACCGGGGACACTGCCGATGGCGACCTCCTGGAACCGAGCCTGGAGATGCAGGAGCCTCCACGGAGCAAGCTGATCCGCTTGGAGCCGCTGACGGAGGCGGAGGCCAGCGAGGCCTCTCTGTTTTACCTGTGCGAACTGAGCCCCGACGGGCCTGGTGTGGAGGCCCCACAGCTGGAGGTCTGAAGGGGGGGGGGGGGCGCCGCGAGGAATGGACCTTTTGTATATATTCATCAAAATGATGATCTATTTATTTGCCAGTATCTTTTGGTACAGTTCTGGCCCGGAGTTCACCGAAAAAGAAAAAAAAAGGGGGGGGGAATATTCCTTCTTTAGAAGATACTCTGCTTCAGCCTGGGATGTAGATGCCTGTGAGCTTCTTATCCAAAAAGTTCATAGTTTGACGGTTATTGGTTCTGTCTTTTTTTTATTATTGTTGTACACTTTTCTTTTCAAAGTCGAGGAGGAACATTTTCAAAGTCATGTATCAGTTACGACTTGAGCAGCACACGTGATTTTAGAAGTACAGAGAGACGTGTCTGTACTGGATACCCGCTTCAGTGTGTGGCACTCCTACTCGCATAGTTGCATTTTTAGTTCAGATTCTGCTGAGACATTTCATGTGAGTTGCCTGTGAGCTTCTTGTCATTATTTCAGACTTGGCAATAACAATAAATGCACAGCATAACTTCAGACAGAATCTCTCCTGTGACATGGCTCAGTGGTAGCTCTGCTGCTACCCACTCTCTCCATTGGTCAAATCGGAACATGACATCACACCCTTTCTTATTGGTGCAGGATGGCATTAATCAATGACCTTGCATGCCGATGAATAGTTGTCCTAATTTGCATACCCTAGTTTTTGCATTGAGGAAAGACTGACAGTGACTCAAGGCTAAATACAGCAACATACTTCAATCAGAACATTAACTCGTCACTTGTCTGTCTCAGGACCTCTATTTTGTTTTTTAAAATGACCAGTTATAGACCGCTTGGTTTTTGGAACATCAACGCCACAGCTAAAGGGATTGTTTTTTTCCCCCAGTGCAGGTAAGGAGGGACTAACTTGGCAAAAAAAAAAAAACCGCAGTATCCACGCCGGAGAACGTAAAACATAACGTAGATCGTAATGACTCATACACTCGCACAGATGACCTCGTAAAGGATCCTGAAAATGTCGGAGCCCCATGCAAACTCAAGGAGAGTAAAAACTATTCACAGGACACCCTGGAGCAGGTTTTTATTTCAGGTTACTTTACTTCAGGTTACTTTACTTCAGGTTACTTTACTTCAGGTTACTTTACTTCAGGTTACTTTACTTCAGGTTACTTTACTTCAGGTTACTTTACTTCAGGGTAACTGTACAAGAGTAACATCCTGGAGCTAGTGAAGAGAAGAGAGATTACAGTGCAGAGGCAAGTTCCAGTGCTGAGAAAAGCTAGGTGAGCAAATTCAACCACTGTGCACCATCTGAAAGCGAACATTGATACAAAAAGTGCAATTACCGTCACTTCCTACTATATAAATACAGAATTAAAAATGACATTTTACAACAAATGCAAAACATCTGAAGACCAGAAACAGGATTAAACAAAATTAGTCAAATGATACTACACCATACCTTCACGATGAACAGCAAGCCCAATTTTCTGGTTAAGCGCCGACAGGACGACCAAAAAAAAAAATGTCAAAATCAGGAACAGCAAAAGGATGCAGGGAAATCGTAACTGATGGTGGCACAGAGCATGCAAATGGTCAGGTTTCACGTCACGGTTCCTTATGTGCTAACATATGAAGCTCTTCAGCTAATAGTCAAAAGAAAAAAAATCACACAAGCGTTCCTCTACTTTTTAAATCAAAGAAACTAAGTTGTGCTCGACGGCCACATTACTGAATTTAAAATTTCTAAGACGGCAAAATGCTATGAAGCTGTTTACAATCTACAGTCGTTCAAGCTTCCCCCCCATTCTGTTTTAATAAAAGCATCCCCCCTCCCCCCCAGTAATCATTAACAAAAACTTTAAACATTCTTCCTAAAGCCCAGTTCGGACACATTTAAAAGCGATATCTACATTCAGCTTCAGTAGCTGCTGCTGTTCAACTTTTTTTGTATTTCCAACAAGCTCTTCATTTGACAGTTCAACACAAAAAAATGACAGTCATGCATGGGAGAAAGAAACTTGGGGAAATACACGCATGGTATGTAGAGCGATGACGGCCCCCCACCACGCAGCACAGGCACTGCTGGGGGGCGGGGCTTCCTCCGCCGGCATTCAGTCGAAGTCACGGTTGGTCAGGACCAGCGGGGCCACCAGAGTCCACACATACAGGGCGATGCAGATCCAGCTGGACGAGATCTTGACCCAGACGGACGGCCACTTGCTTGTCATGGTCTCGTAGTTGGAGTCAGGACTGTTACAGCAATGAGAGATGCAAAATTAACCATCAGCACAGAATACCATGATATCCATTCTGTCTTTTTAAAAGCTGGTAATTTTACTCCATTTCTATTGTTGAAGGCAGCTATGATCCATAAAACCCACATTAAAAACAACTCAAAGGCTAACTAATTTTAACCCCATTTAAGTAATTACAAGCAACATATCACAACTGAACTAGTACTGAACTACTATAATACGAACCAGTACAAAGCTGGAACAAACGGAACTTTGTTATGTCTTTGGGTGCGTTCACACCGCAGGAACTTTTTTTTTTCCAGGAACCAGAACCTTTTTCTGTAACCAGGAACGTTTTTCGTGTTCACACTGGAGGAACTCGGCCCGACTGTAGATCCTCAGGCAGTTCCGGAACCCTTTAGTCCCTACTCCAGACGAGGTACTTTTTGTTCTAACACAAACTACTGGGAAGGTGCTTACAGCCATTGTTTGCTGATTGGTTGATCACAAGCAGTGGTGCCAACATGGACGTTACGCAGAAGTGCAGAAAATTGAGCAGATGGAATCATTTTTGCATCCAGGTGGAGGCGGCCCAGGGACTGGAGACCAAATGTGATCACGGTGCATTTGGGCCAGAGAGGACGCCACCTACCTGTACCAGTTGGTCAGCGTCATCATGATGTACAGGGAGGCCAAAAAGAGCATGAAGTGGAAGAAGGAGTAGCTGTAGTTCACCCCATCCTTCTCGTTGTCCACGGCGCGATTCAAGCCGTCTCCTTCCTCGAAGTTGTCTGGGTGACTGGGGCCGTCTTCAATGAGGGCAGACTCGTCGCTGGTCAGGGTCAGCTTATTCACCTGGGTGTTGGAGGAGTTTCGGATGCTGCCAAGCACAAGACGACGAAACATCGGACGTTTATCAGCTGCCCAGATTTACGTTTATAGGCATAGATGTCAAATGTGAATATCAAAATACACAGAAGGCGACTGATTGCTTACCTGGAGTACAGGACACAGAGGAGGAACAGGATCAATCCCACAATGCCCTGGGCATCCCACCACTGAACCACATGGTCACGGCTGATTGGGCCGGTGCTGTTATAGCCGATGATTCCCAGCAGGCTCGGATTACACTTCCTCTCTGTAAAACAAGGACATACCGGTCCCTTTATCATGATACCTCCATTTACAAGGCTGGTAAGTCTAACGAAAGAGTTACACAAGTCCGTGTCCTACCCGGCTCGTTGGTCATTGCAGACCAGGTGAGATACATGGTGTACAGAGTGACGATGGAGGACTGTAGCAGGCCGGACCTCGGCTGTGACTCCTGCAGAGACCGGAACAGCACACAGCCAGGTGATCCAGCCGCGAGAGTACATCATCGAACGTGATGATGTCACTCTACAGGCGTGGCTGGCTCACGGCCAGATTCCCAAGGCAGACCGGTTACCAGGTCCGGCAATGGGCTGAGAGGGGGCGGTGCCCTAACCTGGATCTTGGGCAGGACAGACATGACCGAAGCCCCAATGCACAGCAGCATGTTGACACTGATGAAAGCCTTGTTCTCAGTGCATCCGTCGGCATGGGTGTAGTAGATGTAGAACATGACCAGGGACACCAGAGACAGGATGTAGTTCACAGTCGTCACTGACAGAAGAGCTATAGATAAAAAATACATACATTATGCCACTCCAGAGTCAGCTCATTTCATCATGTTAATATAGAACAACAAAATACTGTCTATTCTTCCTTCCATCTACAGAGCAAACACAAGCCTAGATAGCCCAGAGCTGGTAGTCATCATGCTGTGTTATGATTACTTTCATATATACGCTTTATGAAGATATAGGATGCGTTCCACTTGCCCAGGGCCCGTCTGCATACCTGCATACCAACAGCGGGAGTTACCCTCCTCCATCTTCTCCACCCAGGACTCGTTCCAGGAGTGGGCGAAGTCGATCAGCAGTACCAGTTGAATGAGGATGAAGCAGAATGCCCCGGACATGCCCATGTAGAACCACACTGCGGCAAACGCAGAGACAGGTTTCAAAGCTTAGCCGCTGCGCGTGGCACAGCTCTCTACCTCCGAAAAGCACAAGGATGCCTGGGCTGGAATATGGTCAACCCCCCCCCCCCCACAAAGAACGGGGCATCAAGACTGCAGGCAGCCAAACACCTACACGTAACCCTCAAAAATACAGAAGGCAAGGAGAACTGCAAGCAGTCCATCCAGGAAACAATGGAATGTGGCCAAAAAATATAAAAACTAATTTAACAACCTGGGGGTGCTTGGTGGGGGGGGGAAACAAAATCATAATTAAAATCAACAAATTATCCCCGTCCAAATTTGCTTAATATTACTGGAGATATAGGTAAGATACACCTGCTGAAATGGGATCAGGTGTGGCAGCTTAATCCCAAATCATAAAGCTGCCACACCTGATCCCTGCTGCCTGCACAAAACCTAGGAGTCAGCATACCATGCCTGTAACCAGTGACCATCCCAGACGGTGCATTACCAGTCGTGAAGGGTCCCTCTGGAATGAAAAAGGCCCCAACGGTAATGGCGGTGGCAGCGGCAAACTTGAAGAACCAGAACCTGAAGGAGAGATCAAGCGTCTGACATGCAGAAAGCCCAGCACTGACTGACTGAACGGATTGCAGTAGCTACACAGTACATGCACATTCACAATACTGAATCTTTATTTTTTAATTCCTTAATTTTTTAAACCACTGATTCTCAATACCCCATAGACCTGCCATAACGTGTTTACTAATGAGCTTAAATCAATTACAAAAATTCCACAGAGTTCAACCTTTACGCAAAGCCAAGGAGCACAACAGAAGTAAATGTTTCACTGCCAATGACAAGCTAGAGGAGGCGTGACATCATCAGCGAGCAGGGCGCCCCGCTTACCCATTATGCACTGAAGCTCGGGGGTCTTGGCTACTCTTGACCTTGATCATAAGAAGCGAGAACAGTAGGAAGAACATGGCCATGCCGAAGCAGACGCGGTACACGGCCTTGTAGCCCACGAGGACGTCGCAGTTGACGTGACCCTGCACGCCCGGCAGGGATGTTCCCATCCCTCCTTCGCAAAACCCTGGAATCTGTAACCACGTACAAACATTCGTCACCCGTACCATTCAAATCAACGCTCAGGTCAGTCTGCACCTGTAAATACATGATTATTCATGCAAAATTAAGTTAGAAAAAAATCCACTTTATTTTTAAAAGAATGTTCTGCCTGGCCAAAAAAAGCCACACACTTTAATATTTCATAGGATCGCTTTGATCGTGG